GTCCTGCAGCAGCTGCAGAAGAAATGCAAGGACAAGTTCCAGGTGATGATCAGAACAGCCACCAAACCATTGCAGGCCTCCAGGGACTGTGCGGTTGAGCCCCTTATTTGCCTGCTGAGGATGACACTTAAGGCCACGTCTTTTTTAAGATCACTCAGTTTGTACCCAGTCTCTTGAGAGGAAAACAATAGATATGCAAAGGCTCATGATACAGTGCAAATGGCTATTGAGAGCCACGGAGTGTGGAAAACCATCCGTTTGTGACAACATTTTTCACTTCCTGCAGAGCACCCCGCAAGGACCCAAGAGATTAAGAACTGATTACAGGCAGGCAGTGAGAGATATGCATGGTAAGGCATAAAGTCAGAAATCTCATAGGCATTTCCAGTTTCAGACAGCACCAGCTGAGACTATCAGACTCTTCAGCATCACATTCCTTTAAATTTTTCTGTTTGTTATAATTTCAGTCTCTAGAGTCGGATGCTGGTGCACAGCCAGTTCACTGTTCACAGAGATAGGTAAGCGTGCAGTAGATCAAGAGAATTTTTGAAAGAAGCTATAAACACTAAGGAAGTGGTTGCATGCACTTTTTCAAAATACTCTAACTGCTTGTTAGTTCAAGGAAATCATAGTGATCTGTTGAATGCAAAAGCAGTTTTTCTTTGTATGTTTGCAGCAGCAGGTAGGTGGTGGGGTGCATGAAGCATCTTGAGTAGGGATGAATGAACCACTTTGAAAGAAGAAAGAGTCTCTCCCAGGATTTTGCCTGGTTTTTGAACCAAACTTTTAAGCTCAGGAAATTTTCAAATGCTGGTTAGGCTCAGGCATAAAAAGGACATAATTTCTTGGGACAGATTTTTGTTCTGAGATTTTCAGATTAACACTGCTCATAAGGTGCTAAAAGTCTTTTTTAGATATTTTTCAGAACAATACAAGGGTGTGAGCTCAAGCCCTTTTGAGACCTACCCACCGTGAGTTCTGATTTTTGAAGGAAGGGGCAAGGAACTGAAAATTCTGCATAAATCACCTGCACACAGAGTCGACACGTGTCCTCATTTTGTTTAACTGAGTAAAGTTGCTGAGAGATTTGCTTTGGTAAGGAAGCTGGAGTTGTGCGTGACTCTTGGCTAATCTGACTATTTGAGGACATTGCATAGCTTAGTGAAGCACATTTTGGACAACTACATTTTCAACCCATTCTGTCTGAACCGTGTTCCACAGAGCAGCTGTGATAACCTCTGACTAATTGGCTTTTCAGAAGGTTACCTGCTGAGAGCATCTGCCATGACATCCACTCTCCCAGAAATGTTTCATCTCAGAATTGCCTGATGCAGGCCCAGCATCACAGGCAAAAAGTGAGTTTTCTCTTGAGTCAGAATACAGGGGAAAGGACTCGCCTGACCTTGTTGAATGTTCATCATCTGTCTTGAAGCACTGAGCATCCTGTCTAAACTACCTTTTGAAAGCCACCCTGAAGACTTCCTTGAGATGAGATTTGACATTGATCCAGACAGCAAATCTGGGAGTGAGCCAGGATCCCACATACCCACGTACTCACGGTGGCTTCTGAGGGCTTTCCCACTGCTTCCGGCAACGTCCCGCGCTGTGCTGTGCCCCAGCAGCCTGTGCACAGGCTGGGTGCCAGCTCCTGCCTCAAAGCCCTTGTGTGGGTCTGGAACTCAGAGTGAGCAATATACCAGTACCAGTACAGGAATAACACCAAGGAGTTTATTGTCTGTGAAGTAATTGTCTTCCATGCATCTCATTTGGGAATATTTATTCAGTAGCATATTATCAGTATTCTTCACCAGTATTATGGCAAGGGCATCAACAGATATTAAAACTACATCCAAGAGGATTAGGAGTACCTGGTTATGGGAGCAAGTTGTCCAGAAGAAGACGCATCTTGAAAAAAAGAAACACTGAACTCCTGTTTGCAGAAAGAGCAATTCATGTGACAGCTTCTGTTTGCTTTAAAGACTCTGCTTCTGGAGTCTTGTGATGATACATCGATGTCCCTGGTCATTTGAACAAAATCATCTTGTTTCATGGTTGGGTTTCATCCTTCATGACAAATATGTCCTAACTGTATCCTAAAAAAAAAGGAGGAATGAGGGGAAAGCAACATTTGTTTTTAATTCCATGTAAGCTTTTATAATTTCTTTGCATGGCCTCATTAATGAATATTTAATACTTGGGATTAGGATCACTGTGTTTGGTGCTCTAGACATGCTCACAGATCCACCTCTTCTGTCAAGCTACTCCAAAACTACAATCTTGGTTTCCTGCTAGGCAAGTGAACCAAAAGCAAGAAGAAACTTCCTTTCCCCCTTGGTATTTTTCTACCGTATTGACACTGCATTTGACAAGCAATATTAAATAACCTTCAAGACTGTAGCAGCTGCCAGGTCCTAGTAATGAGGGGGAAAGCAAGCAAGCCAGACCAAGACATGTCTGTGTGGGAATCTAAGAAAAATTGGCAGGCTTATCAAAAATGACCCACATCTCTGTTTCCTCTCTTGGCTGCTGGGTGTTGCATTCAGTCCATTGATTAATATGTCACTGCTGAACACAGGCAGCTGGACTGTGACACTTGCAGCAAGGCAGCTTGCTGGCTCTGTGCAGCCCCAAGGCTTCACTTGCTGCCTGTGTCAGCCAGGGCTGCTCTGAGGAGAGGAGCTGGGCTGGGAGGTGGACAGGGCAGGTAGGCCAGCCTTGCTTTGCCACCTCCTCCCTGCTGGCTCCAGCCTGCAAATGTTTGGGGTAACCTTGGATCTCTGGCACTGTTGACTCTGCTTATCAGTGACCTGTTAGGCAATAAGGATGTGCAGCAATAGCTGCATTTACCTAGAGGTTAAGAGCTGCTGCTAGTCTCCATCCAGAACGGTAAAGGGATGGTTTTCTGAAAGAGTGAAACGAAACTGGTGCAACTTCAGTCTCATTTCACCTGGGGCAAATGATTCCTGACACTGCCACTGCTGCCCTGTGGCAGCATTTCCCAGCTCCTGGTACCCTCCTCCTGTCATGGAGACTGGCTGGGATCAGCAGCTCCCCAAGTAGATAGTTTGTTTTTACATTAGCTTCCATGAACCTCACAGGGACACCTCATGCTCTGACACTTCAGTTATAGTTATTCAGTGCACAAGAAAGGGGTAGAAGTACAAATGGGCTGCCAGCTGTTCCCTTTTGTCAGTGTACCAAGTTCTTCAAAGCTAGTAATAGCTCTAATCAATAAGTAGCAAGTCTGCAATCATGTACAGAATATTATAATGTTGCAAGTGACATGAGTAGCATGAAGTGAGATACCTGTGGCCTTTCTGACAGGAAAAAAACTAGTAAATGGTGGTGGTGAATGTGTGCTGGACATAGGCATTTTTCTTAGTAATCCCGTATTGTAAATGTCCTGACCTTAGAGTATAAAGTTAGTCCCAGGAGAAGAAACCTAGCAAAGGTAACAGATGCTTGTTTTCTTTATCAGAAGCCCTCAGCTATGAAAACATGACAAAGAGATAATACTGCTAGGTTAGGCTGAATTAACATGTTTTTAAAGTGAATGAAAAATATGTCCCTTTTCCAGTTAGGAAAGAAATCACACAGTACAGCTGCTCACAAAAATAAAATACATCTCTGGCTTTGAAATGATTGTTGTCTTCCTACAGCAGCTTCTTGAAAATGTCAGGTGAGATTAGATCTGTGCGCCGGTGCGTCAGAAAGCGCGTGAAGCCCCTGCGAAGGGCGGTCTTCAGCTTACAGGCTGAGGCCAGGTTTTCAAAGACAAGTGCTCATTTGTGGTATCTTTTCAAAAACTTTAATTTCAGAGAGTGCTGGGTACCTACTGTTAGCAAACCAGGGTCCTTGGAGGAATCTCCAGCTGAGCACCAACAGTTACTTAGTTATGAGGAAGAGTAAGTGCTTCTAAAGCCCTGTCATCAAACGACATAGCAAGAAGAGGAGATGGGCTAGATTACCCCTAAATCTTCAGTTTACTTGCTCTAAATGCAGAGTTTAACAGAATTACTACTATTGCCTGGGACAGTGTTGCCAGCTGTATCCAGCTTCGCTCTGCTAGATGTCCCACATGACTCAAAGCTGTTGTGCTCCCTTTGTGGTGTGGATGGAGCTCAGGTTGGGATCAATCCCGTTTCTCCTCATTCATGGGTTTCTGCCTGAAGGGCCAGCTGGCTTATTTCAGACTTAAGCATTGTCAAGCCAATGACTAAGACAATGTGGATGGTTAGGGAATTTCAGCACGTGAGGTCTGACCTGAGGTCTGACCTGATGTAATTTGCCAGTTCACTCATTTTGGTTTTGTCCTGTGACTCTCTGGCTAGGCAGGGTATTTTCCATTGTTTGGGAGAGGTTTTCACATTTTTCCTTCTTTGCAGTATATGAGCTATTTAAACTCAAAAAAAGTCCTGTTTCTCTTTTGTGAGACAGGCTGAATCTGTTGACACTACACATATGGGAGTTACTCTCTAGTTCACCTGGAATCAAACACTTCGGAGGTGAGGTACCAGTTTTCCTCTCTCCAAGTTTAAAACCTTCTCCCTCGAGATTTCCCCTGTATCTTCAAACCTGCTTGATATCACCACGCACCTATTTTGGCATTTTGCAAAGCCTTTCCAGCATTTGGCTACCAAGCCCTTCAGTAGTTAATGCAAACCCAACCAAACCAAAGAGTCTGCTCTCTGGGCCTCAGACTAGAGGAAGAGGCAAAAATTGAAGTAAGATTTGTTAAATCATACAAGTGATTGCTGGTCTGTGCTTTATATTTGTCTAAGGAATTGATTATAGACTGAGTTTTTTGGTTGATGAGTAAAGCTCATTTAAAAAATACCAGGAACACAATATGTATTCTGTGAGTAGTTTGTCTTTATAGCAGATGTACATTTACTCACCTCAAACGTGACTTTTTTTTTTTTAGTTAAAATACATAGTATTTCCTTTGCTCTGTTCTATACTCACTGCCTGATTTTGTTCTTCTGTTTTGTTTCTTACAGCCCCAGCAGAGAGCTTTCCATAAGTATTTCCAGCCTCTAAAGCTGCTGTCCTGCCACTTGATATGAAAGTGAACTTTCCTTCATGAAAAAAAACATAATAAATAGCACTGCCAGAAGGTGACCATGGAGGATTGAAGACAAACTTGAAGTAAAATCAGCCCACTCAAGATGGTGCACTCTGGGAAGACCTGGTTTGCTGTGCAGTAAAAATGTGGTGCATAATATCCAGTGCTAATTTGTTGAAAAATGGTCATTGACAGACCTTTAGCTGGAAAATTACTTCCAGTTCTCATCACTGTGCATAACTTTTGAGTTCCCTTTAGGGGACTGTCTATGCCCTTCACTAGAAGTCCTGTTTTAGCATGGCAACTACTGGATTCTTTTATTATGTATGCAGATGGCATGATGTTTTAGGAAAAACTTACAGCAATTCTCCAATCTCAGTGGATATGTTCACAATATTACACCCTGATAGGAATGTAAATGTCTTGTATATGTTAGTTTTGCAGTCTAATGGTATTCTGTTAAACAGTATCAGCACTTCATATGTTCTTTCTGCACAGAACTAGCACAGCCCATATATATAAAATTGTCTTTTTTTCAAATACTGTGGATATGTTTCAGTATTTGTGCTGAAACTGCATCCAAACTGAAGTCCACTACTACCATACTTTCACTGATTCACAGTAGACTGTGTAGATAGATTTGCACGTGGCAGAGGTGTGACTTCTTTTATCAAGACTTCTAGAACAGCTGTCACAGAGGTAGCCAAGAACAGGGTAGGTTGAATGAGCTGAAGGACACTGTGTCTGTTCTCCCTCTTATCCACCAAATGACAAAAGGTTCTCGTTTCTACTCTGCCCGTGTGTTTTCTTGCTTTGTGAGGGAGAGGCAAGGGAGAGGACCTTTTTTAGAGATGTGTGTGACCCTGGGTTTGGTCTGCGATAAAACCAGAATAAACTGGAAGAATTCAGGTTCTTTATGCTGGCCACCATTTATGTTTTGGGTAGGGCTGGGGAATCATATTCCAAACCAAACTCTCTGAAGAAGGTAAGGTGTAAGACTACACTTCTAAGGAGCGAGACACTCCCTGTGGAGAGGGCAGACTTCTTCATTAACTTTTTCCACTTTCTATCCAAAACAGTATTTTGGTAGGAACTGGGAATAAGTAAATGGTTTCAATAAGCCTTTCAATATACTGTAGCAGGCTCAAGACTGTTGCATTCAATCTAAGCGTTGTTTTCTGTTCAGTCTCCCAATGACTGGCTTCATCTGTGGCTGTATCACAGCTGGCTGTGGTACTGCTGCTTCCGGCAGTGGAATTAGTGTCTGTCCCTCACATCAGGACCTTCTTGATGCACTCTTTACAATGAACTGATGCCATCAACATACTGAGGGGACTTGCCTATTTGTTCCTTCTTCCTTTATTATCAAAGATAGTTTTTTCTGTGTTTGAAGACCATCACTCTCTCCAGTCTAATACACAGGTGCTATAGGTGCCTTTAGAGTATATGCCAAACTGTAGGTGAGATACCAAAATGGTGTGAAGGTGCAGCCATGGAGAGAAGGTGCAGCTCCATCAAGGCAAAGGGACGTATTTTGAGGAAGCTCCTGTGTTATCATTCTTAAAAGCTATTGTAAGGTTCATCACTGGAGAATGGAAGGTCAGCCACTGAGGGTGCCCATACAACCAACAAGTATGTGTCACTAGGACTTAGAGGTTTTTTTCAGATGAGTGTGGGCTTAGGTTTCAGCTCTCCACCCTTCTCAGATTCAGCATGTTGGATGCTTCTATAGTATTAAGTCCAAAAGCAAATTCTTTTTTATTGACGACTATGTTCAGAAGATTTCTAATGATTTGGGTATTACATGGGTTTTCAGGTGGAGCTCACAAGAATTACAAAATAAGAGTCTACATTCTCTTTCTGAAAATCTTCGTCCCTAATATGAAATTAATTGATATAAAAATTCTCACAAAGACATAGAATCTTTGCCAATGGCAACATTTTCACTTTTTAGAACTTTTATAGGGTTGCAGGTTGGAATCTGGTACCAAGAGACCTGGCCGTGTGCATGGCACAGGTCCACTGTAAGCTTCAGCAAATTTTACAGCTCTTTCTGCTACAGGTTTTAAAAATGCACCCTGGCAACCAACATCAATTTCATGCTGGTACAGCAATTAGAAAAAAAAAACCAACACCTTAAGGTATTTTAAAAAGAAGTAGAATGCTATACTTCTGCAGAAGGAATTATCTCACTATCCAGTGAAAAGCGCTGAAATAATTTGAATGGTAAAAGAAGAGTTGATCAGAGAGTGTTATCTTAAAAGGGTGTATGAGAAGAAGTTGGGTTAGGCAGAGAGCCACTAGAAGCATTTTTTTCTATCAATGTTAGTTTTGAACATCTTCCAGTATATGGGCATGAATTTAGATGTGTGCACTTCTCCTGTTTAAACAGTTTGTTTTAAAAGCTTCCCTGGATTTTAGCTACAGTGACCTAGAAAAACAGTGTTATAGGCCCTGAGAAATGTGAAAATCAAGTCCAGACCCTCGTGTAGCCAGACTTGGTGAGAAGTCTGCTGTAGGTGCCTGTTGGACAAATCTCCTTTGTAGCTGGTTGTAGGTCTCCATCCTACAGCCAGCCTGTGCATGTGGATAACTCCAAACATTGTTCCCCCAAACCCATGACACTTCTCATGTCTGTAACTGTCTGCAGGAGCCATAAGGAAATAACTGTGCTTTTTGGCTCTTGTTGAACTATTCATCGTGTTTGGATTTTTAATCACTGTTATTCTCCCAAAGTGGGCCATGCTTCCTCAGGGATATTTATGAAATTGTTCTCCATCTACTGAACAACTATCTGGATCCCAGCATATTCTTCTGAAAACTTTTTAATATAAATAAACATGTGGGAGAGATTTTTGTTATTATGAATGGGGGCAGGTGCTGTGTTCTCGGAAAGGCTGTTGAGTGCAGACAATCAAGTCTGTTGCATTTTTTATGCTGAACACCTTGTTAATAGCAGACACATCCGCTTTTGCCTGGGTCGCAGGAACAGTTCAGGGGAAAGAATCCTTTATCTCTAGTCAATAAATCATTTATGTTAAGAGTGCCAAAGACCAAGTCAACATGAAAGGTAGCAAATAAGTTATTCCAGCAAAGGAAGTGAATTTAAATATGCTCAGAGCCATTAGTTCAGTGCAAAAGAGTAGGAGACTTAACACTGTTTTCATAAAACAGCAATTATCAGCCCTGTGGAGACAGATAAATTCACAAAGGCCAGTGCAACTGTTACACTGATGACTAGTTATTATCTCTGAAACAAGCCAGTATTCTGGCTTCTCCCTGTGCAGACCTTCCTCCTGTGCCTCTCCCTGCTGCTGCGCTCGACTGGTTCTTTGTGTGGAGAAAGGTTGCAGCATCAGGCAAGATGAAGAAATGCCAAAAGAGACTCAGCCATCTCAAGTGCTTCAAACTGTGAGAAGTCCTGCACTAGAAACCTGACAGAATTGCTTGTCCCAGAAAAGACACTGCAGCTGAAAGCATCCTTTGCACTGGTTTGTTGTTTTTTTCACCTGCATGGCTTCTGTGCCTGACAACCCACCATTTATTCTGTTAAGGGAAATGCAGCCTTCCAGAAGGGGAGTTTGGAAAAGCTCCATGAGCTCTTTGGTTTTGTCCACCCAGCTGCATGGCAGTGCTCTGCTGGTGGGCTCATCCCTCCCTCTCTGTTCCTAAGGGGAAGTGTTGTCACTCAACAGCAGCTGCAGCATTGCTGAGGAAATCAAGCCATTAAAAATTACAAAACGCTGGGTTTGTTTTGCCCTGAATTTTCAGGAGACCCCTGGCAGACCTACACTGGCACTGCTCCATCAAAATCACCTGAGAAGTGTTTACTAATGCCAGCCATGGAGCCAGGCCTGGGGTGCTTTTTTGTTATCACTAAAACTAACCTCCCTCCATCCCCCAGAAAGCCACAAGATCTCAATATTCAAAATTGTCTTAGGCAAGCAAAGTAAAATCCTGCATCTTTTACATCAGTTCCCTTTTAACAATTAAAATCTCTGCCATCAGAGTCTCCTTGAACAGCCCCACTACAGGACTGTACTGCAATTGACCCTGGTATATATAGACTGTGGTCAATAAGATTTTAATTTAAAAAGAAAAGCTCCTCTGGTATGATTAAAATTGATGGGCAGAGGGGGAAAGTACTACCAGCATTAACTGCAACTTCCTATAGTAAAATCTGGGAGAATTACCCGGAATGCAAAAAAGCCTCACCAACATAAGGTATGGGTGATTAGGCAAGCTTATGAGGATAAATCAGCAGGTAAGAAAAGTAGGTGTTGGATGAGGGAAGCTAAAAAAATGGGAAGTCAGTGGCCAGTAGGTTAGGGCTCGTCAGACCAAAGACTTTACATATATCTTAATAAATACCATCATAGCAAAGCAAAGTCTGATGTTAGGCAGGCACAGCACAGTGATTACTCACAGTACATGCAAAAACCAACAAATACTCTTGTTTGGTATTTGAAGGAAGGAGTCAGATTGCACACTAAAATGTAATTACTCCCACTGCATTAGTAATTACGGGTAATATTAAGCATCATTTTTAAATTGGTAAAACCATTAACTGAATCCGGAAGTGATGGAAAACTTGCCTAGGACTCCTCAGAACTGGAAAACATAAAACAAGCTTCAAGTGACAACAAAACCCCAGTAATTCAAGAGAATGAGTGGATTTGATCCAGAAAACAAAAGGCTCCTTAGTTTCCTATCAGTCTTAGGCAAAATCATGGGAAGGTTGATACAACACAATCATGACAGCAATTAAAAATTTATAAAACCCTCCAGATTATTATTTTTTTTTAAATGGAAATGTATCATGCCAAATAAACTCACTATCATTTGTTGTGATATCAAAGGCTTATTGATAAAAGAAACTCTGCTGGCGTACTATACTTAGCCTCTTATAGATCATTTGATTCTGATAAAGCACAAATAACACAAAATGAATGCTGCCCATATTAAGTGGATTAAAACTGATCACAGGCTAGATCACAAAAAATAGCTGTAAATATGAAATTAGCATCAGTGAGAGTATTTCTAATGAGTTCCTCCCAAGGTATGGTCTGTTTTCAATATTCATTCCAGGGCAAGAGAAAATTATTGTTGGCAACAGCCAGTGGCAACAAAAACAGGTGAATAATTCACATGGTGAATAATGTTATGGAGCAGGTCAGTGGGAGAGAGTAACCTGGAGGACAGCAAGGTCAGAAATGCAGGAGAAATGGCAGCAAGTCCCACGTAGAGTATGTCTAGAATAATATAGTGGCTGTAAAGTGAGATAAATAATCCATTCAACATCAGCCCCAGAGATGCTCTTGCCAGCTGGGATGTGGGACCTGGCAGCAGTGATGCTGTTCCAGTTTGTTGGGTTGCTGCCCGTCTTTCAAAAGCAGTATTGACAACTGGGAAAGATTATTTTCAATAGCTCCTAGTGTCGTTCAAGGGCAGGAAAACAGGTCTTATTATGGTGTCAGACTAATGAAGCTCAAGCTATTAATTTATCAGAGGCAATTTGAAGAGGTGACTCCTTCTCTGCAAGTACAATTTTTTACCTGGGCAGTGAAGTGCTGTCTGAAGGCAGGTTGCTCTTTTATTTAGAAGAAAAGGGAATTATGTGCTCTACTGGTTGGATACTGATTTCAGGCTGGAAATTAAGTGCAAATGCTCAACAGGGAGGATAATTACCCACAGAGACAACTTACTTCGTTACCTGGCATGTTCTCCATCACATAAAGTCTTTAAATGTATGCAGAGTATTTTTCTAAGTCAGTAAGCTCTACCTCAAACTGAAATCCAGGCTCAATGCAGCAGTTACTGGGTGAGGTTATTAGGTGTGTGTTATGCAAGACTAGATCATCAGATGTAAACTTCTAAATTAAAAATATCTCAAAGTTTCCG